AAGCCAGGCCAAAAGCATCTCCGCAAACTCATTTAGCTCTCTGTGAAAAGAAGAAGCTTCCTATAATTGTTACGGATGTTAAAAACGAGAACAAAGAAATGCCTATTTCGTCGTGGCTTGAAATATGTAAAAAATGATCAAGATCTTAAAAAGATGGTGTTCAAACTCGTTTCAAAGTTTATCTGTGTAGCTTTCTTGGTCATGTTAAAATGCCTCTATGAGAGAAGCAATGCTGCTGTTTGCAGTGCTTACAGACAGAGCCCCCCGTTTCTTGGCACCAGTCTCGTCAACCGCGAATGTCGTTCACACTCCAAAAGTTAGCCCAAGCGTGGCAGTCAATTGTTGCGCGTGGATTTTAGGTGAACCCTTGCCACAGGTCGAAGGAGTGTACGAGGGAAACTCAAAACTGAACAATAACGGGTACCCAAACATCAAACCATCCCGAAAATGACCCCGACCGAGTGACGAAGCTACGCTATAAAACTCAAGAGAAGCTGATGCTGGAGCTGACTTTGTGTAATGCCAATGGCGTGTTATCAGCGGTCGTTTGATGCTCTGCTATTATGTGGAAGCTTTTGGTTTCACAATCAACGCTGGGTGTTGCATAAGCTTTGATGCTGTACGCTCTACCGAACAGAAAATAAAGCCAATTTTTCTACGGCGCCAAAAAAATGTTTTTTGTGCAATTTTCTTTTTTTCGCACTTCGCATCTGCAGGTATATCAAACTTTTATTTTTTGCTTCATTATTTATACGCGATATGTTGTTCTGTTAAATTTTAGTACTTTCGCTAAACATTGTAGGCTCACAAAAAACTTCTATTTAGTTTTTTTTTCTTGATAATGAAGTACCTTTTCGTAATATGAATTTTTCGCGCTATATAAACGCTTGCATGCTATTTCTGATGAATGATGTATAGCTAACAACTCTAGCAGCATTCCTCGTATATGTTCAAGTATGACCCGATGTGCCTATTTTTGTTGGAAATCTCGTATGATGCCATTGTAAGAGTCTTCAGAAACCAAATAAAACTGCATAGAGCAGCATTTAGACCTGAAGACTACCAGAATTTTTCGGTGAAGCAACCTTTGACTTTTCGACCCTCATAGGTGGGCTTCAACTTACTCCCAAGTTCTGAGACCTGACCAATGCGGACAAGCTCCATGATGACACAGCTCGTACGACCACGTCATAGTCGTGACCGTGCTTTTACCGTGCAAGTGCCGGCAGACTACTATTCCACGGCTTCCCGCAAGCCCGTGCCTGGGGCGCACAGGCATAAAGTTGCGAAATCTCATGAACGTTATCGGCATCTGATGAGAATGATAACGACGACGACGGCGATGACCACTCAGTTCCTGAGACCGGCGACAGGGCGACAGCAAGCGGTACAGGCAACTCGGTAGGGCATTACTGTTACAGTGCCATTTAACACGCTAAATGGCACTTGTACGTTCTATCCGGTGGCTTGTCGATCATGGGCCTTTTCAAAATCGAAGTTGGAACTGTGCGTTATGAAGGCACTAATTATTTTTTGTCGTGTGCTGTAGCAAGCAACGTGTCGTGCACTGACTAATAAACACCAAGCAGGAAATGGAATCGGAAAAATCGAAACACCAGAATTGTCCTGTCCTTCAAGAACGAGAATGCGAAAGGCGCTTTTATCATTGTATCCTTCTACCGTTGTCTTCTTCTATGATTGATTGTGTTTATTACACCCACAAATATAGAAACACACACACACACACACACACACACAAATTGATTGATTGATTCATTGACTGATTGATATGGGGGTTTAACGTCCTTTAACCACCATATGATTATGAGAGGCACTGTAGTGGAGGGATACGGAAATTTCGACCACCTGGGGTTTTTTTACGTGCACCCAAATCTGAGCACACAGGCCTACAACATTTCCGCCTCCATCAGAAATGCAGCTGCCGCAGCCGAGTATACCTTAGCCACCAGACCACACACAGACACACACACACACACAGATATATATATATATATATATATATATATATATATATATATATTCGAAGATCGCAGGTTCGGATCCTGCCCATGGCAAGTTATCTTTTCACCCACTTCTCTTTCTTCATATTTACAATACAATTTGGTCTAGTATCTTTTCTGATACTTTCCTTGGCATTGTTGTTTGTTAAATCTCATTATTATTGTGTAAAACACAGAAAAACGAGCCGTTAAGTACACACTTCTTTTCTTAATTCATTACCGAGGGACTCGTACTGGCATACTTGGTGCCTTTAGATTGTATACGAGGAACTATTGGTCAGCTAACCACTCGTAACAAGTTCACGTGCTACGTGACGCCAAACAGGCTCAAAAAGAGTGTGCCACACTCGCCGCCATTGCTACTGGTGGCGCTGACTGACAAAGGATCGAACGCGTCATTCGAAGGTCGCAGGTTGGGATCCTGCCCATGGCAAGTTATCTTTTCACCCACTTTTCTTTCTTTATATTCACAATAACATTTGGTCTAATATCTTCCCTTATACTTTCCTTGGCATTATTGTCTGTTAAATCTCATTAATATTGTGTAAAACACGGAAAAAGAAGCCCTTAGGTAAACACTTCTTTCCTTATATATATATATACATATATATATATATATATATAATATATATATATATATATATATATATATATATATATATATATATATATATATATATATATATATATATATATATATATATATTTGCCCGTGTGTGTGTTGAGGGTTAGAATGCCGGACGGCCACATTGTACTTCTCACGACAAGCCGGGTACAGCTATCGACTTAATAAGACGACACTGTCAGATAGGACATTCACGATTTTGCTTTATTAGTTCGGAATACATGGTGTCACGAGTTCTTATAATCCCAGAATATGGGCGGCTTCAGAACTTAGTTTTGTCACATCGCCGTTCTGCCACAAGGACACACTGTCACAGCCAAAATATATCCATGGAACGTCTCAACTGACAGCACCTAGACGTCACACAAATGCATAGTTTCTCCTTTTGTGTGTGTGTGTGTCTTCTGGCGTAGTGTGTGTTTCAGGAAGGCTGTAGAACCATTAAAGAAAGAGAGTGCTTGGAGCTCATCCACCTCCCCATGCACGCACTGTTTATGGAGTAAGCGAACAAACAAAGAATGCACTAGGCTTTCTCTCTCCTTTTTCTCCTTACCCCATGTGTTTTGGGTGGTCTGAACCGGCGTGGATAAGTGAAGCCCAAAACTGTAGATATTTCCCTGACCAATCTACAAAAACCTACTGCTTTTTATAAGTACACCACCTCCCCCTCTCACGCAGGCCCGAGAAGGATGAGTGATAAACGTCAACGTATAAGATGCACGCAAGTAGCTGCAGTGTTTCCAAGAGTAATAACAACGTTATACAGCTGCAGCACCTCCCGGGTCCTGCACTCTCCGTCTAGTGCTCCAATAGCACTTACGCATACAAGATTCTCGTGGTGACGACGCCACGTAACAGACAGGTAAGCTTCTGAGAATTTCAATGCGGATTTTTTCTATCACCAAGCGCTTTTTAGCTACCACGCTGGCCCGCACAATGCTAGCAGCAATAGGGGAGAAATGGCTCTAGGTATGCTAGTAAATAATGAGTTCACGTGCACTATGCTCGCACATACAGTGTTCAAAGTACTCTCAAGATTATAAAATGACTGTGATGGCACTCACACCAGAGTAATATGTTGAACTTATGCAACAAAATATCACGCTGTTTTTTTCCAATAACTTTTGTTGATTAACCATGCACAATTGAAGCTATAGCAACACTGAACTGATTTCCGCATAGTCACATTTTCACAGGTCTTCCTAATTGTGATAGATAGTACACATTTGCGGTATTGCTTGAATAATAATGCCACTCGCCCTGGAATGTTTGAGGGTGTTTGATGTAATACTACAATTTTAGGATAGGATTTTCAATACATGGCCGCCTTTATATCGCACGGTAAAATTGTTATATTGTGTACGAAGTAAGGTTTGTGGGTATTTGATGTAGTATTTAAATTGTCGGGTATAGATTTCTTTGAATGGCAGCGTTTATATCACTTGTTCAAATTGCTATATTGCGTTCGAACTAGACATTTGGCTTTGTAAGTCATTGATTACGTCATGATAACATGCAGCTGATGGCCTTTAAACTGAATAACGTATCAAAATGCAATAGAGACTACAAAAATAATTTTCATGACACAAAGCGAGATAGAAAATAGGAACAGACGAGGTTTAAGGCATGCTACTTTACCCGAATTCTGAGATAAGTAATTTGATCAACCTCATAGAGATTTCAGTCGATGGTGGTATTTTTCTTACTACTTTACGATGTTGCCAAAGAAGATGTTTTTCAGTAAATTGTGTCATGGTAAACCACCTAATTGTACCTTTATAATGTTTTTTTTCTGTGACATACGTTATCTCAGTCTCAAGATGGAACATCTATTGAATTGGGGCACTAGGCTTAACTTCTGAGCCATTACCTGTTATTAAGAAATGTCTAATTCAGGTAAACAAGATATGAGACAACCGCAATATATTGTTTCGATAAATTTCGCTAAGATGGCACTCATGTATTCGGTCATTGCTTTTTTTTGGATGGCTGCAGCAGCTGCATTTTTGTGGAAAGCTAAATTGTTTGAGGCCCGTGTGCTCAGATTTATGGACAAATAAGAACCGCAGGTGGTCGAACCTTAGCTCTCTACTACTGCCATTATCATTATCATATCGTGTGTTGAGGACGTTGAGCCCCAGATAATCTTATTTTATGGGATAGCTCTGCGCATAAAGTTTTCTCACTAACCGAAAAGTTAGTAAAAAATTCTGCTTTTCGTAGTGACTTACAGGGCTTTCTATGGGTGATGTGAAGGACAGTGATAGGAAAGCACGAGATTTGTACAAGTGTTCAAATCTGTTTATGTCACAGAAAGTAGGCGTATTTTATTGTATTTTTGTCATAGTTCAAGCATGGTGCATTCGAACGAAGAGGGCGGACAGTACTGCGTGTCGAACAAGGAGCCTTCACCTAAGCAATCGTGCATGGAACCTGGCGTGGATACTTGCTGGTACATGGCTGGGCTCTGCGGTCTCGTTACATTCATGACATCGGCTACTATCCGTTCTTCTGGATTCCTGTACATCGGCATGATGGAAGAGTTTAACGTCAATCGTGGACAGGCCGCGTGGCCCATTTGCCTGTTCGGCGCTGTGAGCAATCTAGCTGGTGAGAAAGAGCAATACTCTGATGTTTTCTGTGGGGTCTCATGCACTGCAATATCAAATTGTGCAATTTGTAAGCACGAAACACGCAGTATGTATATATACAGGTGTATAATATTTAGGTTATTGAACCGCACATGCCTCTTTCTTGGCATTATATGTCGTGTCTTAAGCACACCACCATATTTTCGGGCATGACCCATCAAGTAGGAGAACATGAAATGCATGGCATACGGACGGGAACTGTCTTGGTTGTAGAACAGGACACGTTGTCTCATGCTAACGGGAGATGCCCTGTATATTTGTGTGGTGCGTGGCCATAGGGAAACAAAAAGTGATGTCTTAGTGAGACTCGTTTCTCGTCTTCGTGCTGCAAACTGTTAGATGACAGTTGTCACTTGCGCTCTGTCTTGTGTATTCATTCGCGTTCGTGATGTGGTCTGCTAACTTCCTGGTTATCTAACTTAACAGGCAACCGTATACCTCTCGTGCCATTGCCTAATGACCATCGAGCAAACGTTCAAAGCCTGAACGACGAACTTTATAAACTAACTCGCTTTCAATTAAAACAAGCAGATTCAATTTTGTACGTTCTTCATTCCTACATTCGCCTATACAAAAATCCCAACACTATTCTTCACTAACCTTCCCTCAAATTACGGGATTCTGTGGATTTGACTTTCTATTTCTCTCTATCATATGGAGTGTAATGTCAAAAAACAGGAAGCACTACATGACGGTGGAGTAAATCTTTTGAGTAGTGGACGTTCCTACGTGAAGACAGCAGCGGAAGTTTATTGAAACGCTGTTTCCAATAACACGCCCTGTACGATGACTTATTGTAACTTAACACTCAGCATCGTTCTGCGGGCATGTCTTTTATGGAATGTATTCGTTCTCAGCTTTGATTGAAACGGGGTGGCAAATCAGTGACAAAAGAAACAACTCCATCACTGTCTGAACAATGTTTTATTCATTATGTAATTTTCGTAGGTATTCATGAAGAGCGTGCTTATACTTAGACCAAATACACTACAACCTTTCACACTTAAGTAAGCGACCTGAATAGCGCTCAATTATCTATTTTCTCGAAATGTCTTATTTCACCACTGTTCTTGTGATTTCTTGCTTAAATAGAACACGTGTCGAAAACTTACAATACTTGTATTCGCAAAGGCAAACCTGAAGATAGTAGACCGTTTCCTTATTGCCCCAGGCTAGTGCACGCACTGGTCCTGATAACGCCACGCAAGCATAACGGGCTGTCGCTATCATAAACCCTGCTGCGATGACCATTCAGAGGAACTATTCAGACATGAGATAAGACTGGTGTGTAGATTCTTCGAAGTTTAGCCACACAGCGGATAACTGAATTAGCCTGACCAGCTTCACTGTTATAACTGATGTGGTCTATCTTATGTAAGAGTAAATATTTTTCTACACTCAACCATGAAAACAAAGTTCGAACTAACCTCCTAGCTGTACTAGTTGAACTGAACTTTTTAAAGTGTAGGAGCAAGACTCTTAATGGCACATCCCGTCTGGTCACCAGGCATGCCAGGCGCACGTAGGAAACGCTTTTCCTTATTGCCTTTGTTCATGTTTTCATTGCCATATAAACACAAATTCATATACAGGGCTTGACAGCTACAATAAATTCCGAAAAAAAATCTGCTGAGTGTGCCCATATATTTTGTACCGCAATGAAATATTCAAGTTGAAGACGAGCGCGTGACGTAACTCTTATGACCATGATGAGCCCTTCCTGCATAGCTCAGTCTGTCACGACGAGAAAGTAGAGAAAGCAACCGTAGCTTACGACAAGTCTTTGTAACTCCACTTGCAGATGAATGATTCTAAACATGTATGCAGTGGTCACATCATGACGCAATAAACTCATTTAGTTAAGTTGTTCGAGGGCTATTTGAAATTGTGTTGTAGCGGCATGTAATAATAATAATAATAATAATAATAATAATAATAATAATAATAATAATAATAATAATAATAATAATAATAATAATAATAATAATAATAATAATAATAATAATAATAATAATAATAATAATAATAATAATAAAAATAATACTAAAAATAATAACATTAATATAGAATAATAAGAATTTCTTATTATTATTATTATTATTATTATTATTATTATTATTAATATTATTATTATTATTATTATTATTATTATTATCATTATTATTATTATTATTATTATTATTATTATCATTATTATTATTATTATTATTATCTGCCGTTTAACGTGCTAAAACCGCGATATGACTATGAGAGACGCCGTAGTGGAAGTCCCGGGAATTCTGAACACCTGGAATTCTTCAACGAGCACCTACATCTAAGAACACGGTCCTCATTAATTTTTGCCTCCATCAAAAATACACCCGTAGGATTGAATCCCATGACCTTTGGGTTCGCAGCCCAGCGCCATAACCACTACACCACCGGTGCGGGGCTGCTCCAGGGCCGTTTGGATGTACGCGCAGAGAAAAACAGTCCTGTAAAAATACAAGAGCTTTCTCTGCTCAGTTCCTGAAATATTATTTTACCTCAAATTTTTAGAATGTGCTGACACTTGCGGCACAACGAGCCTAGCTTGGTTGCAATATACAGTATAAGGCGGCGTTTGTGTTATTACGGTTATATACCATTTTAACCGAAAGAGCTGCTGAGGAAAACAGGAAAAACGCACACTGCATTTCATTCACAATGAGGGCGTGCGGAAAATTATTTTTTGAAAAAAAAAAATGTACTGCTCGACGTATTAAGGCCAGAACATCTAACGAAAAATTTGTTGTTTTTTGTGTACGCATTTCGAATTGCTATTTCATTTGTAAACAAGCCAATGAACCCATACACTATTGTTCCTACTGTTCTACTGATAACATTTGACCACGATAATGATTGATTTGTGGAGTTTCACGTCCCAAAACCACCATCTGGTTATGAGAGACGCCGTAGAAGACGGCTCCGGAAATTTCGACCACTTGGTTTTCTTTAACGTGCAACCAAATCTGAGCACAAGGGCGTACAACATTTCCACCTCCATCGAAAATGCAGCCGCCACAGCCAGGATTTAATCCCGCGACAACGTTTGACCATGGTGTAATTCTTACCACAGCTACAGTATTGGTCTCGGTGGAAACATTGTTATCTCGACAGTTCAGGCAATACATTTTATGTGTACTGCGATTCAGCGGTGAATGTGCGTGGGCTTCAAATGAAAAAAGGCAGTGACTGCTTCATTGAAAATATTTGAGGACATATCAAAAGTTGTGTACGAATAGGATTCGTCTGTTTCGTTTTTACAGGCATTGTCGCTGGGTCCTTGTGCCAGAGGTTTGGACCTGTGCCAGTGATGTACGTGGGTAGCGTGACGATGTGGATAGGCTTAATCGCGAGCAGCTTTTCATCAAACATTTCATGGATGACAGCATCTCTTGGCATTTTGTTCGGTAAGTATTCAGTTATTCATCGTTGAACAAGTGAAATCAGCCTATCGTTTTTTAGGGGTGAAAGACCTTAGGGTCTACGGTTGTCCGTTGCGCGTTGTCGGAACCGCACATGCGAGGTACCCACTATACACCTACAATAATTTCATCATGTAGAGATGCCCCCACACAATACAATGATATTCGTCATACTGCTGATAAGCGAGGACCTGCTACACATCTCTAAGGCATTATGTGTACTTTGTTTGTGCTGTTGTTGATGACGACAAAGTATAAGCGCGTTCTAGGCGACGCATTATCTTTCTCCTATGGATAAAAATGAATTTGAATGCGAACTTGTCTACAAATGGTAACACCGATGTAGAAAACAAGTTAACCTGGAGGCTAGAGTTCGGGAAGCAGTGGTAGAAAGGGAATGTCGACAAGAAGCTACTACTCCCGAGTCGGGAGCGTGGCACGGGTTGGCTCGACGTCTGCGCAGACAGCAAGCTACTTCAGAGGCGAACGCTCGTCAAGCAGCGATAAATTGCTCCAGAGCTCCGGTTCATGAGCATCAGGCGTTTAATGCAAGGCCACGGGCTGTACGAAATCAAAAGGGGTCCCAGTCTCGATAGACGTTGAGAGAACGGTGCAATGCTTTAAGTGAAACATACGCGACCACCGAGCCATCGAAATGCACATAAAGCGAAAGCTGATAAGGAGGCCGTCGTACGTCCGACCGAGCCAAGAAATGGAACTTTCACGTGTGCTTTAGGTACGTAGAAGACTTGCCCCTCTACAAGTGCGTAAATATATAAAAACCGTGCATAGGCCTCGTCTCTGCCAACTTTAGGCTAGATACAGTAGAAAAACCATTGACCATACATTTCATGGACCACAATACAGTAATAATAAAGGCGAAACGACAGGCAGAACTCTGCACAACATACGAGTTACGGCCAATTCAATATTGTATACAGGGTGTTTCAGCTAAAAAGCGTCAAGCAATAAAAAGTTAAAAATGAATGCTACGCGTCGGCGGCTTGCGCAGTATTGTTTTAGCTGTATGTAGCCTGTACGAATAGTTTTTTGATTCTCCAAGCACGGTAATTAACAAAGACTGCTAATGAACTTTTTAAATACCTACTCTAGAGAAAAAAAACTCAATACAAGACTTGTAGATCTTATCCAAAAATAACAAAATTTTCAAGTGATGGTGCTCATATACCAACGCTGGTTAATGTTTTTCCGGGGTTTGTTGAAAGTCCACGAAAAAAAAAATACCACGTGATTGCCGCCTACCGCGCGGCGCTTTGTGTACCCTCCAATGTAAGTTGTAGGAGCTACCGAAGGCTTCTCGTGCACAAAGGTCGTTTGAACAGGCTATCTGTGACTGCGATTGACATTAAAAAAAGGAGGAGTGAACAAAAGAAACGAAGACAACAAACTTCGACGAAAAAGCGGCTGCCACGTGCATTCAGTGCATATCTTGTGACCTATAGTAAGCCGCTGCTTTTACATATACTGAAGCGACATTCAGACGAAGCGACAGAGCTACTATGCTGCTGACGCATTTTCAAGAAAGTGAGCTTTAGGGTGAAGTGCATTATCAGGTGTACAATTGAAAATTGCCAAGCAATGACAGAAAGGCACCACCTACCCTCGGCAACAGCAATTTTCAGAAGATTGCTTCGGAAAAAAAACGTTAGTTTCTGGTATGGCGCGCCACTTATTATTTACTGCACCACTCAATAAAACGCATGAAAAATTCAGAAACATAGAGACTGTGCTGGACCAAAAGTTTCGACTAGCGGGCTTGTCATTTTCAAGGCTTAAGCTATAGGACCCGAAAATTTTTGCAGTTTGCAGCACTTCAGAAATTGTATGTTTTCAGGCTACGAAAAAAATCTGCTTCTTTCTAGAATTTATTTCCTATTAGTTACGCTTCCGAATTTATGTAACACTTTTAGGGCAAGAAAGTTCAGCCCCTGTTTTTCTGTTCTTGGAAGACGTTTGTGCAGAAGTGCCTATTATCGCATCATTAAAACCTTTTCATTTTTTTTCCTCCGCAGGTTTCGGCTCAGGGATTGTTTTCATGATGCTGTTCGTTTTCATCAACCAGTACTTTGACAAGTACAAGGGACTCGCTCTTGGCATCATGTACACTGGTTCCACAAGCTCGGCTTTTGTTTTCCCCAGGCTACTGCTGTTCCTCAAAGAGACCTACAACTTCCGCAGCAGCATTATGATATTCGGTGCGATCGTTATGCATGTAACGGCGATCAGCCTCGTCCTTAAGGAACCCGTATGGATTCGCCGAAGGAAGCACCTGGAGAAAATAGCCGCCCAGAAGGCCAAGGCTTTGATATTCACAATTGATAGGGGAGACCTTAAGATTATTGCTGAAAAACCACCAACTTTGAAGACAGCTCCAAACCCAAGAAGCCTCCGCTATGGTCTCACGGTCTTGAAATCACCCATGTTTTATGTCATCACTGTGACCTACATAATCTACAACTACAACTTCGATATTTTCATGACAACTGTGCCGGATTTCGCTGTTGATCGTGGTACATCCGTGGTAGCCGCCGTTGGTTTGGTTCCTCTTTTTTCTATCACAGACACTGTTGGTCGACTAGGAATTCCGGTTTTGGCGGATCGCGGTTACCTGAGGCGCAGCACTCTGGTCATGATGAACTATCTGCTCATGGGAGTTTGCTTGTTGGCACTCCCGCTGGCTAAATCATATTTTTCGATTCTTGCCATCTGCCTCTGTGAAGCAACGTTTGTCGGCTGTGGAATGACGATGTACCCTGCGATAATGGCAGAGTATGTCGGCTTGGACAGGCTGCCCATCAGCTACGGAATCGTGGGGACGGTTGCTGGTCCTCTGTTCCTGCTGAAACCATCTTTTATTGGTAAGGATTTTCGTTAAGTTGTCGCGTATTTTAGCAGGCTGCAGAATGGTTTACATTTTCAGTGTTCATATTTCAGAATACGTAACCCTAACTTTTATTTGTTTCATTGCTACGTTCTTAGTAGTTCCCGAGAGGGTGTTGGGTTTGCAGGAAAGGAGTTATTTGAGCTACTTGGTTTTAACTCACCTCAAATGCAAAAAGTGAGCGCTTTGCACCTGCACCGTCGTTAGTGTTTTTTGTCCACGTTTTGTTCTGCCCCATTTTCGCATTTATTATAAATGTGAAGTTAAATCTGATGCGCTTTCTTTGAAGTGCGATAGACTTTCAACAGTGGTGATCCTAATGGAAAGAGTGTAATTTTTTTTCTCTTGATACTCAGAGAAAGAAGTTCGCCAGGTCCTACGTACCTTGAGAATCGATGTTAAGCGATGCTTGCGGATGGAAGGTCACTGTTTTGTAGCTTTTTTATTGAACGAAACAATACGATGTGGTGCTGAAGAGATGTACAAATGAGCGTAGAGGCACGCGTTAAACGACCGCATATATTTTTTGTAACCAGCTGATTACAGTTTCGTAACAATACCAACAACATCATGGACATTAGCAACACCATAAGCGGTAAGCTCATATGAAGTGCTGGTACTCACGAAAATGATAACCCTGTTTAGAGCTGCATAAATGAAATTCAGCGGTTGACGCTTAACTCCAATTGACGCTAACTCGATGGTACGGCTCTATTTTAGGAGTACATGTGTATCATTTATAAAATTGGATAAGCAGCACTGCTACAACAATCGACGTTTCATCAACAATAGGGTCTTCTTAATAAGTAGTTCCGAGGCTGGTCATGGCTTTGTTGTAGAATACGTGATAGCCACGCAGAAGGTGGGGGTTCAATTCCGTCTGAGACCCTGATATTTATTATTTGCATTTGTCAGGTCAACGCTGCTGATTCCAGTTTTTTTCTTAAAACTGAAGCGAAAACTTATCCGTGTCTGTTTTTCTTGTTCCTGGGTATTAACATGCACCTGTGGCACATACCCGTGGTAGGGTATGTGCGACACGCCTAGAGGAAAAGATTTGATGGCGTCTGCGACGAGATCGTGCTATTATATATGTCATGAACAGCGAGTTATATTCGTCAAACTATCTTACTTTCCCATAAAAATTTTGGTTTATCACAATCTAAGGGGATGATTGTGAGAACATCGAGACATAGATAGATAGATAGATAGATAGATAGATAGATAGATAGATAGATAGATAGATAGATAGATAGATAGATAGATAGATACATTACAAAAAGATATTGATGTTTAAAGTGCTGCACTATGCAAAGAAGTGGTTCAGGTAAAATAATTCAGGCCTGCACGGAAAACGCATCACATATGCAGTGAAAGCTGGAAGAGATTCGTTTCTAGAACGTGCACATGTTGTAAACGCTCTTCGGGTTACTAATACACGTGCACCTGCAACAAATCAACTTCTCTTTAAATCGCAAGCTTTGTGATGTAGTGAATAAAGCAATGTGTCATAATTCATTATTTTAGGAGGAGTACTGTACATGTCACTCTTGTGTAAGGCATTATGTGGAACTTCTGGATGAGGCTGAGGCAAACGAATACTAAGAGTTATGGCTGAGGCCTTTATGATGAGCTGGTAGCATTCAATGACCTACTAGTTACAAAATTTATAGTCTAACAAGGCGAACACAATGCCGATTTGCTAATTTAGTGAGTCATGAATAATAATAATGTATAGAGTGCTACACACGGAAACCATGGTATACATAAAAGACGCCGTAGTGAAGGCCTCCACAAACTTCGACCACATGGTGCTTTTTAACGTGCATGGACATTGCAAAGTACACCGGTCTCTACATTTTCGCCTCTATCGGAATGCCACCGCCGTGGTCGGAGTTGAACCCGTGGTATTCGGGTCAGCAGCCGAACACCGTAACCACTGGTCCACTGCGGCCTAAAGTGGGTTGTTCAATTATACAGCCAAACACAAAGACTGCGGCAAACTTCTTCGCCGTGATCAACCATTGCATCAAAGTTCACACAATGCCTTGCCCACGTGTAGTGGTGCCTCGCTTCTCCGCAGAATGACGAACATTGGCGTAGTAGGTAACTTGACAAAAAATGATTTAAGACGTAATGGGTACTTCGTCAGTGTGCTTGTATTACTAGTAGCAAGAGAGTTCACAATGAACTCTAGAAAAGCCGCTCATAGAGCCATTGCTCCCACTTTTGCTGCGCTTTCCTTGCAACCCTGGCGCTTTTTTTTCTTCTTTTTTTTCCCACGCCACATTCCAAATGGTAACGTCCTTCCTCTATGGTGTCTTTCGCAAAGCAGTTTCGAGCACCGACTTGACTCTGTGGCAAAATGTTAGGCTTCCACTGAGGTAGCCCATGTTCGAAGTACGTTGTATTCTGGATAATTTTATTGCCTTAGTCATATCACGTGATAGTGGTTATGGACAGCTGCGGCAGCACCAGCTGGCAACTACGGCATCAAACGCTGCCGTTGTCGGGATCTCATAACAGCTGTTGCTCTACAATGAATCAACCCATGTAGTACGTTGTACGTAAGCGAGAAACTAAGAGTTCTTCACTAAAGGAATGAAACATTCGAGCTGCAGAAGTAATGTAAGTGTTGTGACAAAGTGGCGATAAAAAAAACAAAAAAAAGTTGTGAAATAGAGACAGGGTCGCTGCCCATTGGCGACAAGAGTAAAGACAAGTTGCACTTCGCTTTAAGGCATGTGTATACTTTAAGGATCATTTCATATCAAGTGTAATAGGTAAATTTTGGACAGTCTTCGATCATGCTGAAAAATTGGGCAAGTATATGTGAAAAGGAGCACGAGTTCATGAGGTATTATATTCCTTAATTATATTATGTGTTGCACAGAGGGTGCTTTGAGCTCTGGGCACCTATGGACATACTGTATATGCTACTTTTAGGTAGCAGAGTTGCGCATACCTTTTCCTTCTGCCGCTCATGCCACTATTCGGTAAGCGCTGTCACGTGGGGCAAAGGGACGTCAGACGTTCCATTTCAAGCGGCGAAGCCAACCTTACGTCCATGATGGCACGGCGTCCACGCGTTCTTTGCCCGCACAGACTTCATGCTCATCGCGACTGCCATTAGAGGTTTTACCTTCTAAGTGTACTATTTGCATTACCATGTTATCGGATAGAACCTGCGCATGCGCGGGTCTTTGCATAATGTAAACCTTTACGTAACGTAAATTACCCGCCTGGTAGCCTGTACGTTTACGACGCTATTTCACAAATGCAGCTTCAATCGTGAAAATTCGCGATATCCGCATTGCGCAGACTCGAAGCATCATGTCAAAATAGGCCGATGTGCGAGTGCCAATATCGATTATATTGTTTCAGCCGCATTTCCAAAGCTAAAATGGCTAGAGCATAAAAATTGCAAACGTGTGAACCCCTGACAGACTGGATAGGTGGCGCCATCTAGCGGTCTTAAAAGGAACCAGGTAATCACAAACTCGTTTTTCCAGAAACATTATGCATTGTACGTCTTGTATAAAAGCCGCGCTGCGGCGTTATCACGAATGAGTTCCGTTTTTTTTTATTTTCGCGTCACTTGTTTAATTATTCAGTTTAACTTCCCTGAACCACCATATTTTAAAGGAAGATGCAGCAGTGTAGGGCTCGAAACATTTTGACCGCCTGGGGTTCGTTAGCATCCACATAAACTTAAGCAAACAGGCCTCAACCGTGTCCGCTACATATAACAATGTACCACGTCACTGCAATCGCAAATTCTTGTTGATAGCGTTCAAATAAGTCTGCGGCACGCCGCCCACGCCAGACCATTGAGCCGCATTTTTCTCCTGCGTGCGCGACGAGTGGCTTCACTGCACAGGTTTAGACATAATGTCCAACTCTGCTCCCGTAGGGAGCATACACAGTAACTATATGGGCACCCAATTCAAATCCTCTGCGCTAAACTACTTACATATTATCACTGATCTGAGCAGTTACCAAGAAATATTTTTTTCTTAATTTTAGGGAGCCTATCTTTCATGTCTATGACAGTTTATTGATTTTTGTCTAAGGCTTCTTGATTTCTGGCCGTGGCGAAAAATTTATGTATGCAGTATGTTTAGCCTATTTGATAAAAAATCACAGATTCTCTCACCGAGTACTATATTCACTTTCTGTGGCTTCTGGGTTGCTAAATAGTGAAAATGCTTTGGGAGCTTGTGAAGAAATAACCTTGCTACGGAGTCATGACAAAACTAAAAAAATAATTATTTTGAATAAAAATGCGACTTTTTTGATATGGTAACGGTCGAAGCGAAATTTCGGCATATATACTGTTGCTTAGTATGCTTTTTATGTAAAAGATGAAAAAAGTTTCAAATGAGTTGTTTTGGTTTTAATTATTTATGGAATGAATAGACTTTATTTAAAGTCCAGCTGTTTTACCGGGTGAAATTGGGGAAGAGGGGATTAACCGCTGTCCCTCCCCACTCTCCGTTGATTATGATGGTGGTGGCGAAAAAATTTTTACACTGAACTACAAGCTCGTAAGATGTTTGGTTATCCCTGTTCTTCACTACATAGCACATTGATTTATGATTCAATCGGGGACCTTTAAGCAGCGAATAATGCATGATATACAACAACTACTGTTGTACAAGTACACATAAAACAAGCGTTTTACATTAGGCGAGGCCCTAATTTGCAATATAACAACGCAATAACCAAGTAAGTTACATAAAAAGGGAGCGTTAAGAGAAAAAATTTGTACTTTCTCATGTTGACCTTACAGCGTTATTACAAACATTGCTGTCTTTGCTCGCAGGATACTTCAGAGACAACATAGGCGCCTATGACTGCATGTACACACTTCTCGCCATGGCACTCATTGTACTGGCGCTCATTTGGCTTGTGGTGGTCTGCGTGGAAAGCAAGGAATCAAGAAGCTGGAAGTTGGATCACAAGCGCAATGTGGAGGCCTCAGTTGCCGCGGGTGCCAACCGTTGTCGAATCACAGAAGAGTTTAGGACAGCGTCTGCTAACTGCGTCGTGACGTCGACTGAATTTTTCACATGACATTGTACTTGTTCGCAATGTGTAAAGTGAAATACTCATGTAATCAATGCATATGAAATGTAAATACCTCGAGCAACTAATTCTTCATTTAAATACCTTGGCACGATGGTAAAGCACGTCTGTAATAGATATATATGCTGCTCAACAAGACGCTATCGACCACTCGTTACCAAGGGGTGCTCTGTACTAAAGCTTTTACTGCATATCTAGCACGTATGAGCAAGTATGGCGTTTATCTAAAGATATTGTGGTGTGTTTTCCACTTAGCTGGGGCCAGAACAATGAACAGCAGTAAGCCAAATAAGAACCAGCTCCATGGTGGCCTTAGGAGTTAGTTCTGTCCATTCGTTTACTTTCAATTACGGGCGGATAGTGCTCAGATAGACAAACCTTGTTTGGTTTGTATCAAGTCATAAATTTTGCAGCACATGGTAATCTTAGGACGCGGTGAAGTGAAGGTGCTTTTGTATTCAGATATCAGACCATACAAACGTTGCCAACATTCGTATCTGCTTCTTCAAAATATTATCCACTTAGAGCGCAGTAAAAAAAAAAAAACCTAATTTTGAACAGTCACTTTTATGCAAGAAGAGTGTTTTAAAAATAGCTTAGGATTATTTTGCTGCGTAAAAAAGCATGCAAATGACATTTAACCTGAAGCAAAATACGTTCAGTTTCCTCCCTATAGCAGTGAGAGGTAAAGTAAAAGAATTTAGAGTTTCACTTCAGAATATATTGGAGGCTCTAAACGAGGTAACCAATGCTAGCAATGAAAAAATAAATAATAAACTTGCTGGTATCATCAAAGAGTATGAAATGGAAGTCAGAGGTAGAGTCACTAGACAGGACACTGGCAACCTATCACACGAGACATAAAAAAAAAAAAGACGACAAACCATGAAAGCATAGAAAGCCACCGACAATATAGAGCAAGTGAATCTTTCGACGTTAATCAACAGGCGCAACGTAGCCGACATGAGAAGGTATAAGATGGGGAGAATTGAGCCGCCTGTAAATAGCGGCAGAAGCCTAGAAGTTCCGACGGCAAACTTGTACATTGGCAGGAAGTTGTGTGTACGCACAACGGGACCAGGAAGGCAACGTCATAACAAATGTTGATAGAATAGATGAGGTGGAAAAGGAGTTCTGTACAGAAGCTAGAACAACCAATAATTGTCCATAACACAAACAATAATTGTCCATAACACATTCACATCCTACCGCTAAGGACAGGAAAAGAAAGGAAAGCCCTGGAACGAATGCAAACAAGCAAAGCCGCTGGTGAGAATCAGGTAACAATGGACCTAATGAAAGATGGGGGAAAAATTGTGTTAAAAATACTGGCCACCTTATATACGAAGTATCTTTTGACGCGAAGGGTACCAGAATCTTGGGAGATTGCCAACATCATACTAATACATAAGAAAGGAGATGCCACGGACTTGAAAAATTACAGGCCGATCAGCTTACTGTCCGTTCTCTACAAATTATTTAGAGAAATAATAGAGAATAAAATCGTGGTGGCATTACAGTTAATTCAACCAAAGGCTCAAGTGGGATTTCATACAAGCTACTCGAAAATATATTATTTTTATACGATCAATCAGGTTACAGAGAAATGATCAGAATACTACAAACCTGTATTGACAGCTTTCATAGAAAACGAGAAGGCATTTAGCTCAGTCGAGACATGATCATTGATGCAGGTACTACGGAGTCAGGGCACCAAAGCACCCTACGTAAACGTACTAGAAGAAATATACAGCAGATCCACAGCCATCATTGTACTACACCAAAAAGTGACACAATCCTAATAAAAAAAAGTGTAAGACAGGGTAACACGATCTCTATCTCTCCAATGCTATTCACCGCGTGTTTACAGAAAGTTTTAAGGGCGCTAGATTGGGAAGCGTTAGGAACACGAGGTAATCGAAAAAATTTTAGCAATCTGCAATTCACTGATGACATTTTCTTGATGAGTAACTTAGAGGACAAATTACCGCTCAAGATTACTGAACTGGACATGGAAAGCAGAAAATTGCTGTGAAAATTAATCCCATAAAACAAGAGTAAGGAGCAACACTCTCGGCAGAAACAGCGCTTTGCGATATGTGGAGTGACGTGCGCTGGAAGTTGTAAAGAAATATGTCTACTTAGGATAGGTAGTAACCGCACAGCCAAACCATAGGAGTGATTTATCTACGAGAATAAATATGAGCAGATAACAATTGGCAAGATTGCTCAAATCAGGAATGGTAATCTTCCACTAACCCTCAAGATATCGGTATATAACAGCTTCATCTTGCTGGTACTGACCTACAGAGCAATAACCTGGAGGCTCACAAACAGGGTTCAGCTTAAATTGAAGACAACTCAGCGAGCGCTCGAAAGGAAATCATTAGGTGTAACTTTAAGAGACAAGAGAGCAGAATAGGCCTAGGAACAAACAGGGGTTGAAGGTATCCTGGTTGAAAGCAACAAGAATGGACAAGGGGCGGGCATGTAACACGAAAGCCGTTTCACCAATGGTCATTAAATGTAGCTGACTGGGTTCCTAAAGAAGGCAAATGCATGAGGGGGAGACAAAAGTTAAGGTGAGCCGATAGGACCAAGAAGTTTGAAAGGATAACTTGTCAGCAGAAAGCACAAGAAAAGATTAATTGGCCGATTATAGGAGAGGTGTTCACCCTGCACTGGGCAAAGTCAGGCTGATAATTATATGCGACCGTATTTAAAAATTCCTAAGAGCTACAAACAGGTCACATCATGTTTACCTCAATCACGTTTGTTACGACTGCGCACGTATTTTTCTTACAAAACACGATTACCCAACTATTCTGACGTTCATGAGAAGAGGAAGCTGTGAAGCGATTTAGAGTCGTAGAGATGGAAATGACACTGAAAACAACACATTGGTAAATTAACTTGTCATTGTCAGGGCATCAACGTTACCCTGACGAACAAAAGACCAGTTGTGAAAACGCTGACCCCAAGGTCATTTTCTGTTCAATGATCCGTAAAAGCATGAGTGAGTCCATTAAATTTATTGTAGAGATAAGCAGTGTTTCTTATGAGTAGAATTGAAAAGTAGTCAGAAATACAGCCCAATTCAGCCACATTTGTAGCTAAATATAAAAATGCCAATATGACTACTGTTTTATACTTATATGATCGGAATTATTTGGCACATGCAAAGAATACCGATGAAAGCCCAATTTTTCTCGCTTGTTTGGTTTAAAGCCACGACTCGGATGCAACAAAAAGGCTTCTATTTAGTGATTTTTTCGTGCACCCTGAAAGCCAAGAGCATCACAGAAGAGAGTGGACAAAACACAATTTAACGGAATACCGTGAGTACAACGGACAATGAGCGAACTTTCCACAGACTGGCGGCTACTGGTCCGACAACGGTCACTGAACTGCGAGGATTGATTTAATACAGACGGAAGGTGATCCCACTCTCTTTCTCCGCATTGTAGAAAAAGCGAAACGTTTAGGCTCTTCTTATCGGATTACAACTTGACACGCGTATAAGATATAAAGTAGGTATTTCCACACAAACATAATCATCGCCATCTTAAAGAGTGATTTATATTCGCAAAAAAATTGTCGCTTATAAAACTATTCGGACCCTATCTATCGAATATCTTATTTTCAGTCGTGTAGAAACATTGACGTTTGATTATGTTTTTCAAACTGTGTTTCATTTGTTAGTTGTAATGTACCTATTGATGACAATGTCTGGAAGAATTCAGTAATACTTTCCTGCATATACCCATGACTGTTATCTAGCAGTTCTCGTTCATCATCATTTTCTAGTTCAGTGTTATTTTTGCACGAATCATAGAACTATTTAGGCGATATTGGGGGTTTACAGAGGGCAGGTGGTTTGCCAGGCTTCTATGCCTTTTAGCCTGTCTCCTTGCCCAAATTGTACTTCTTTACTTTTTCTGGAATAAACTTGCATTCTGATTTCAATTAAGAAAGCGATGTTACACAAAATAGCGTAATATATGTGTCGTGAAAAAACTAATGGTGCTATATTCTGTGAAATAAGTTGGAAAAGCAAATCATTCGATGCGCTGTTAGAAACAGAAGCGAAAGGCGGAAATTCATGACTAATATTCTAGCAGTACACTTTTAATTACTAAAAATAAAATGAATAGAAATATTCTCAGTAAACAACGTGGTAGAAATTGGTTTTACACGAACCGCTAAAATTCCACACTGAAGCGAAAGAAAACTCAGAAATTTTTATTCGTATTTAGGAACGATAGTACCGTTGAACACGGCTGGCTTTCTTGATCTCGTTTTCAGTGGCACGGTGTCATATTCAGTTACAATATATATGAGCCTAAATGTTCATAACAAGTGACGGATTCTCATACAAAGTTGTTCAAGAAGTAATTAGGCTGACTGTAATTGTTTCCATCGACAAAATTGGCATCGGTGTTTCTGCCTTTAGGTTCTAAAAACAATATTTAGCACCAGATGCCCGACCAGAGATTTTTATACTACTTAATAAAAGTATTTCAACAAGGCAACACGTATTCTGTGCTGGATAAAAGTCTTTCTGTGCAGGATAAAAGTGGATTCAAGCCAAAAAATAATAAAATAATTAAACGTTGGGACACTTTTTTTTTGAAGCTGCACAGAGAAACGAATCAGCAGATGGGCCATAGTCACCGACCAGCTTCGTTTTGGTGTGGAACTTTCCCTTTTCTCAAGTTCTCATGAGAACATGGGCCATTCTATAAGCATTTTAAAATGACGTCTGTACGAATCGCTGGTAGCGCAAGCACTCGGATATTCGCATACATTTGGTTACCAGCACGCAAGCAAATTCAACACTCAGTCAACGCAGGCGTGCTGATTGTTGTGTGTGGGTGCCACGTGGCGCACCAGACCACTGCAGTGGCGAGTTGAAGCACATGCATAGGCTGACGTGAATAAACAACATTAAAACAGTGGCTCGTCCTGAGCCTTGCTGGTGATATTGC